GGGTTTTCAATTAGAGGTGATGTAGACTCACCTTGTCTCCACCTGGAGAGACCATAGTAAGAAACTACCCAGAAATGCAGTGAAGTGTGATTAGAGCTTTGAGTTTAATGTGCGTCCCTGAAGGCTTCAGTTTTGACCTCTGGTATGAGTTGATAGGTTTTAAACAAGGATTTCATGTATGATAATATCCTTCAGCTATTCATAGTATGATAATTTCTTAGTCTAATGCATAAGATGTTGTGGCTAGCTTTGATTATGTGAAACTTTACTGTTAATGAATTTCATAAGATGAATAAATGATTATCTTATAATAATAGGTATATTCCTTCTTGCTGAAACTGAGTTCAGGAGAATTTGAAATTTGAAGGGGCAATCTAAACTATAAAGTTCTAGAACAACTTCTTTGAGTCTTAGTTTTCAAAATAGTAAATTTAATAGCTTTATTCACCTATGAAGCTATTTTTTTATAATTAGTGTTGTATTATTGCTAGCCTAAAATTTCATTATTAGCCTACTGAGATAATTGTTACTTATTATATTAAAAGAAATTTGAGATTTTTAAATCTGTCTGTAATTTGCAAGCAAAATGTATTGGCACTATAAAGGAGACTTCTCCCAGATGTGTTTCCTGTAGAAAGGAACAGGAACTTAGAGACTGGTAGCACTCATGATGTTCTTTGGGACAGATTTCCAAATCTCTGGTACTCTGATAACTTCATTTACCCTGCCTTTGACTTTTAAGCTATCAACAAATACTGACTTCCACATCTTTATAAAAGCTTACAACGTAACTTCATGTTATTATTTTAAAGGGCATCCACAAGAAGAAGGTAGTCTTTTATATTCATTCACATACTTACAGTTTATAGTGCTTCCATCTGGACTGCGTGCCTTCCGCCTAAAGACCCCCTTGGGCCTGTTTCATGCGGCAGGCCTGCTGGCCGCGTCTTTTCTCACTTCCAACGGTCTGCACATATTTTTATTTTGCTGGGTACTTTTAATTTTGTTAGAGCTTTAAAATATGTCATTCTCTGTCTTCAGAGTATCACGGTTTGGGGGTATGTTCAAATCATTTTATTGGGGGCTCATAAAGTTCTTATCATAATACATACATTGTGTCAAGCATATTCGTACATTTGTTGCCATCATCATTTTCAAAACATTTTCTTTCTACTTCAGCCCTTGGTATCAGCTCCTCATTTTCCCCCCTCCTTTCCCCACCCTCCCTCCCTCATGAACCCTTGATAATTTATACATTATTTTTTCCCCTTGTGTCTTACACTGACCGCTATGTCCCTTCACCCACTTTTCTGTTGTCCGTCTCCCAGGCAGGGGGTTATATGTAGATCATTGTGATCGGTTCCCCTGTCTCCCCCCACCCTTCCCCTTCCCCTCCTGGTATGGCTACTCTCATATTAGCCAGTCTTTATGTCATCCTTCCTGCTAGGTAAAGTGTCTCCTCTGGGGCTTCTTTCCAAATGTTTCTCTTAATCTTTTAGCAGTGATCCCCTCTTGGTTCTGAGGTGCTTGCATTTAGGCTTTTCCTCACACTGGAGCATTTTCACTCAGCTGTTCTTCCGTTTTTTTTCTTTCCCAATGTCTCTTGCTGCTTCTTTGGGACCCTAATTAAACCTCATGATTATCGCCCCACAGGTCAACATTTTATTCATAGATTGTTGATCATTTTCTCTGCATTCTTTATATTGGATATACTTTTATTGATTTATCTTCAAATTTACTATACTTTCTTTTTCAATCTTCAGTCTGCTGTTAAACCTGTCCAGTGACTTCATTTTTTAATTTCAGAGACTTGTATTTAATTCTTTTTAAAATTAATTTCTCTGATGAGAAGTGCCCTGTGTCACTCCTATGCCCATCTTCTTACTGAGTTTAAGTACGTTTATAGTAAACACTCTGAAGTCCTACCAATCCCAACGTCTAGGCCGTCTCTAAACCCAGTGCTACTGGTGGCCTTTTGCTTTAAAGCAGTGGTTCTCAACCTATGGTCGCAACCCCTTTGGAGGTTGAACAACCCTTCCACAGGGATCGCCCGGTTCATAAAAGTAGCAAAATGACAGTGATGAAGTAGCAACAAAAGTCATGTTATGGTTGGGGGGTCACCACACCCTGAGGAGCTGTATGGAAGCATCATGGCATTAGGAAGGTTGATAACCACTGCTTTAAAGTCACTATTTTCTGCTGCTTATTTCTAGTAATTTTAAAGTTCTGTTATGACTGTTGTGGATGATACATTATCGAGACTGGATTATTTTATTCCCTTTAGGGTTCTGATCTTTGTTTGGTCGCATAGTTAAATTACTTTGACTCTTACCTTGTCAGGGATGGTTTTGTTCTGTTAGGACATGCCTGTGTTTCGATTATTGTCAGCTCTACAGCCTGGTCCTTTCTCCTGAGGGTTTTTTTGGAGCCTTGACTGAATGCCCGAATGAGTCAGGATGGTCCTTACTATGACTGGGCTGATGTTAACACCACCCATCGCTGGTATCTGCTCAGCTCGTAACTAC